TGCTTCAGTGGATTTCTGAAAAGAGGTCTCGTCTCGTTGAGACGGCAAAAAGCTAAAGTTTTCTTTAAAAAAGAAATTTACGTTAGAAAGGGATTTTGAGCGTTTGTTTTGTCGAGTGATGCAGTGTAGCAGGCCGCGCCTTGTAATCCAAGCATAAACCTTCGGAGGTGGGTGTGCAAACAGGGGATAAGTGTCAGTTATAAGCAGGCGATCTGCGGGGACTTCATCCGACCGTCGCTAGACGGCAAAAAGCTAAAGTTTTCTTTAAAAAAGAAATTTACGTTAGAAAGGGATTTTGAGCGTTTGTTTTGTCGAGTGATGCAGTGTAGCAGGCCGCGCCTTGTAATCCAAGCATAAACCTTCGGAGGTGGGTGTGCAAACAGGGGATAAGTGTCAGTTATAAGCAGGCGATCTGCGGGGACTTCATCCGACCGTCGCTGCCCTCCTGTTCTGGTTGACATGTGTGAGCTGGAAATAGCAGAGCTCGTCAACACCCACGTTCGTTTCCGGAGTGTCGCCCGCTCTGTCTCCGTCCTCGTTCTGCTGGTGAAACTTCCCTCTGTACCTTTCCTGCCCCACGGCTGGTCCTGGCTGCTCCGCGGGGGCGGGCTCCCCGCGGCCGGGATCGGGATCGGAGGCTCCGCCGGCCCAGCCCTTCCTCCTCTGGGCATTTTCCATGTGCTGTGTTGTCTCCGTTATCGAGGCAGGTCTTTTTCTTAAGTAATTTGCTTGGACTTAGCCATTTACTTCCTCAGCACTTTTACTAACTTGCACTTTTTGGTTGGAGTGACAGCTAACTGTTTTTGTTTTTTAAACCAAGGTTACACCTTTGGAACCATTTTAAGTGGGAAGCCTGATTAACCCGGGGTCTGATGATGCCCCACTCTCAGAACTGAAGGCTGACAAGGGTAGATTAGTCTTCAGAGACTCCTCCAAAGCCACACCCTTCTGGAAGCCATGCTTTTGCAAAGCACAACACTCTAGTCTGTAGAATCCCAGCATGCAAATTAGGGACATCTTGGCTGACACGTAATGTAACTTTGATATATTTAAAATAATAAAAAAATCAAAACCATTAATACCTGTATATGAAAAACGATTGTTAAACCAGCAAATTCTGTTTTTCTCTTAAAATTTTTTTGCTTCTTGGTTTAGCAGACAAGTAGATAATAGGTATCTGAGGATTAAGAAAAACTTGGTTGAGATGAGACCTTTGATCTAGTCAAGAATTCTTAACTGTTCTAAACACTTGGGGTGGTGAGGGAGGGGTGTAGGTGTCTTGAAATGGAAACAGAGCTCTAGGACAAGCCAGCTCACCACTGTGGCCCCTGGGCTGGAAATAGTCACTTGCTGAGGTGTTACTAGTGTGACTGAGGGCCCGACTGAGTCCTGGGGGAAAGTCCTGTGTCCTGGCCTCCTCCATCTGCCGGAAGGCTTCCAGATCTCACACGTCTGAAGACTCTAGGAAGCTGCAAGTCAGCTTCCAGGTCTGATCAAGTTCCCTTTCAAAATCTTTCACTGGCTGCCTTGACTGCTTAGCCTTCAGAGCTTTGTATCCCAACAAATTTCCCAGACAAGCGTGTACAAGTGGCTGTCTAATAGACCAGGAGGGCAGGAAATGTGCCTTACTCATCCTTGTTTCTTCTGGCTCATTGTGGGTGTGACATACATTGTTAAACAAATTTCTGAATAACTAGAGCACCTATTATATACAGGGCGCTTTATATATAATCTCATTTAGTCCTCTCAGTGGGTGTATGAGGTTAGTATTTCACTGACTGAGAAAAACTCAGAAAGTGACTTGCCTAAGTAAGATATATAGTTATCAGGAGAGACAGGAGTTAAACCTCTACTGATCAGACATGGGCCCATTATGGATGGATAATTTGTTATTTTCATAATCAGTATAGATAGATTATTTGTTTTCATTCACAGAATCTTCTATAGCCTCAGCTAATTTAAAAAATAATGTGATTAATAGCATAAAGTGGCAAGTTGGCTGCATATACTAGAAGATTTAGAAAATATTTCTTTGCTTTCATCTAGTTATTTCACTTTTAGGAATTTACGCTTGGGAAATATCTATAATAATAAAAGTATAATATGCTAATTAGACCAGACGTCCTTCTGGATGACCTTCTGGACGAAGCCAGGGCTGCAGGGGAAGCCTGGGTCCCAGGTGCTGGTGGGAAGCCCGGGTCCTGGGTGCCAGAGGGAAGTCTGTGCCGGCAGCTGGGGAAAGGAAGACCTACTCTTGCATGAATTTTGTGCATAGGGCCTCTAGTGGATGTATAAAAATGTAACAAATGAGGATGCTCATCTCAGCAATGTTATATGTTATGTATTATTATGTATGGAGAAACATTGGAAGCAATCTGAATGTCTACCATAGGGATTGGTTAATTAAATATGACAGTCCTGATGAGGAATTGCTAATGATAGGCTGCTAAGTGAAAAAAGCATGTTAAAAAACTAACTATAAATATCATGAGCTCTTTTTGTTTAAAGATTATACACATGCACATACACATATATACACACATCACATATGTGCACACACATATATGTGTATACATACACTCTGGTATGATTATGATTGATTTCATTTTCTTTTTTTAGTTTAAAAACTATTTTTCAGATTTTTCAACAGTCTGTTACTTTTATAACAGAAAAAATGTTAAATAAATAAAAAAACAAAAGAGGGTAAGAACTTACTCATCAAATGCCTAAGTTAGATCAACCTTTAAGTAGTTAAAATTATTCAAGTGGTAGAAGCAAACCAGTCTAAACTTGTCTATCAGGTTTAGCTCACAATCCCTTGGGATCACTTGAAAGGGAGAGAGAGATAAGAAACATCAATGATGAGAGAGAATCATTGATCGGCTGCCTCTTGCACGCTCCCTACTGGGGATCGAGCCTGCAACCTGGGCATGTGCCCTTAACTGGAATGGAACTCGGGACTCTTCAGTCCACAGGTTGATGCTCTATCCACTGAGCAAAACTGGCTAGGGCAAGATAAATAGCTCCTTAATCAAAACTATTATGCTCCAATGTAGCATCATGTACTACTCTTAAGTTGATAAAATACTTGCTGTTAGAAAAGGGCAACCTTAGTTATTGGCAAAAAGATTTAAAAAATATTTTCAGTTATTTGGTTTTACATACACAAGATTAACCCAAACCTTTGAAACCAATCAGAATTAAGTGCCACTAGTATGTATGTTTTACTTCTGATTCATAGGAAAACATGGAACTCATAAAGTCTTTTCTTTGTGGTGTTGAATAATTTCTCACAGAGTGTAAAGTAGATGGTTCAGTAGGACTCTGACCATTAAAGTTTATTAACCATATTAGTTAATACTTATTAATATTAAGATATTGGTAATACAGTAATGCCTTACTCTTAGAAAATAAATTTTTAAATTTCAAGTCAAAAGTGTTGGTTTTTATTATACAAGGACTTTTTGGACAAAAGAATATTTCTGCATGTGTTTGATTTAACAAAAGTTACCTATGTAAAAACCCAACGACCCTTATGGCAGAACGACCAGAACGACTGGTTGCTATGATGTGTACTGACTACCAGGGGGCAGACACTAAACGCAGGAGCTGCCCTCTGGTGGTCAGTGTGCTCCCACAGGGGGAGTGCTCCTCAGCCAGAAGCCGGGCTCATGGCTGGCAAGTGCAGCGGCGGAGCCTCTCCCGCCTCCATGGCAGTGCTAAGGAGCATCGAGGCAAGCAGTAAGGAGTGAGCAGGTGGGTGTTAGGAGCGAGGGGTCCTGGGCTGAGGAACCCCCCTCCCCCCCCAAATTCCATGCATTGGGCCTCTAGTTTATATATATTTTAGGGTTATGTGACATTATATATGCCTGTAATAAATTTTCTTATCTTTTTTATTAGACAAAGTTGTTAAAAGTGGGTAAGCAAAAAGAAGAAACTTGAAATAATCAGTAATCTAACCACTAATAATGACTTTTGGTGTATTGTGTGTGTATGTGTGTGTTTGCATGCACATGTGCGTGCTGTGTGCTTATGTAATCATGCTGTGTATGCTATTTTGAAACCTGCTTTTTATGAGTATCTTGTAATATAAGTGTCAACTACATTATGGTTATTTTTACTTATGTATGCTCTATAATGTTTGAATTGTTTATTTAATTGACAGACATTGCAACCACATTATTTTAAACTCAAAAGGACTATTATTTGTAATAAACTGGACCCTCACTAAAATGCTTTTATTGAGTTTGTGTTGTAAGACAGCCTTATAAACGGGATTAACCTTGTAACTTTTGAAATGACAAATTGTTCCTCAAAAAGATATAAGCAAGTCCTACTGAAGGGCAATTTCTACTTTCTAATAATTAGAGTTAATAGAAGCTTCTAATATATTTTTGTTTTTAACCGAAATGAAGTAGTTTGGTTTATTAATCTCTTGGGTTGCAACTGTAAAATTTGCTTATTTATATAATTTTCAATGCATAGTAACAAATAATGGGGATTAAAAGTTTGGTCCTAAAGACTTAGCTGGCATTTTTTGTGATTGTATTGTACTTAAAAATTTTTTTTCCCCATTTTTCATTTACAGTTGATGTACAATATTATATGAATTTCAGTTGTATAACCCAGTGATTAGACACTTATATCTTATGAAGTGATCACCATGATAAATCTAGTACCCATGTGATACCATACATAGTTATTACAGTACTAGAGGCCCTATGAACGAAATTTGTGCAAGAGTAGGCCCGGCTGCCTTGGCCCTCGCAGTCCCGCTCTGCTGTTCGGCTGTTTGGTCGATTTGCATATTACGCTTTTATTACTATAGATTATTGACTATATTCCCTATGCTATACTTTATGTCCTATGGCTAGTCTGTAAGGACTGATTTGTACTTCTTAATCCCTTCACCCTATTTTTTCCATTGATTTTAGAGGGAGTGGATGGGAGGGAGGATGGGAGGAAGGGAGGAGAGAGAGAGAGCGAAACATTGATGTCAGAGACATATCAATCTGTTGCCTCCTGCATGAGCCCTGACCAGGGCTGGAATCAAACCTGCAACCCAGATACTTTGGTGCCTGGGCTGAAGGTCTAATCACTGAGTCATACTGGCCAGGGCAATGCTTTTACCCGTTTTACCCTCCCCCTCTGCCCTCATCCCATCTGGCAACCATAAAAATATTCTCTGTATCTATGAGTCTATTTCTGTTTTGCTTGTTTGTTTATTTTGTTTTTTAGATTCCACATATTAGTGGAATCATGACATTTGTCTTTGTCTGACTTATTTTTTTTTTAAATATGTTTTATTGATTTTTTACAGAGAGGAAGGGAGAGGGATAGAGAGTTAGAAACATCGATGAGAGAGAA